GGATGGCACAAGCTGCCGGGCCCAGGCCTTCCCCCCCCACCATTCCACCCGCTACAGTCCCCAGCCCCCTCTCTCCTGAGGGTCACCCTTATCCAGCACCCTTCTCCCTTCCGGGCGGGGACTGCAGCCCGCGAGCTCCTTACTTTTATAAGCAGGGCTCTGACGGTGGACTTCCCCACCCTGAACCAATTGACCACGGAGTGGTAGCTGTCTGGGGTGGCCAGCTTCCAGAGGGCAAGTGCAACGTGCTTCTGAAGGGGGATGGTGGGCTGCAGGTGGGTGTCGCGTCTCTGGAGGGTGGGAGCAAGCCAGGCAGATTGCTCAAGGAAGGTGACCTTGTGCATCCGAAAGTTGTGCAGTCATTGCTGGTCATCCCACTGCTCCATGACCAGCTGGTCCCAACAGTCTGAACTGGTCTCTATCCTCCAGAACCTTCAGACTGGAGCAGCCGCAGCCACGCAGAGGGTGACAAGGAGAAGTTCGGTGTCCATGTCCAGCAGGAAAAATAGGCTGCTGGAAGCAAGTGCTGCAGGCGTTCCCAAAAAGTACAGGGTGTTCCCAAAAAGTACAGGGCAACTACAACAGGCACTGCTGAAGCTCTGCTGTCCCTCAAGACAGGTCTGCAAGCAGGCAGCAGAAACAGAGAAGCAGCTGTCCAGGGGGGTCCCTTTAAGTGTGAATCTCTGCAGAGCTCCGGCAACAGCACTCAAGAGCACCTGGTGATGTAAAGCCTGGTTAGATCCGGTTCCAGGGGACTTTATATGTGAGAGAGCGTTCAATAATGTGGACGCTCTCTTGCGCAAAAGCACATTGTTTTTGCGATGCGCTTTTGAGGTGTGAACGTGCTTTTGTGCAAGAACCTTTTTGCGGAAGATCTCTTCCTCAAACAGCTTCTTGCACAAAAAGCCAATAGTGTAGACATAGCCTGAATGTTGGTCCTCCTAATTATCACAGTGGATCTTAATGCTACCCTGTAGGCTGCCCAAACTGCCCTCTAAACTCTTTTCTGAGTTTGCTTTCACTGAGTTGCTCTTACCTCAAAAATGTACATACTCTAATGAAAGCTTTCCAAGACTGAAATGAAAAACGTATGTTTAGTTAAGAAAACATGTTGACTATTCCCTACAGACATTTCGATATAGAAAGCAATTACTTGGGAGAGTAATAAATCAGAAAAAGTACTTCTGACCTATATGTCACAGTGCTTCTGACTCGAGTACTATGACAGATGGAGTCACTGCTATTTTTCTGCTAGAAAAATCTGTCTGGTTTATAAACCATAAATATTTGTTTAAAATAGGTATTCATTAGTTCACTAGCTGAGCAGCATTAAATCTTACTGGAATAGCTGGCCTTCCTAATTCACTATCAGTGTTAGAGGAACAATAGAGTGTTAAGTCAAAGAGATTTAAAGGTAGTTGAGCAATCCCAGGCCTCCAGTACTGAAATTATTTGGGCACATGCCTCTATTTTCCCACCAGACACTTATTCAGCTAGTCATCTGCAGCCTCTTATTGACTGCAGAACAAAGTGGCTAAGCTGCCTGAAACTTTGAGTTGTTGCCACAGTAAGACAGGAAGCCATAAAGTCACATTTATAAATGCCATCGCACTGCAACAAGTCAGTAGGTCATATATGCCAATATTTTGTCTTCAATAGCAGACCAAACCAGATGCTTCAGAGAAAGGCAAGATCCCTTCATAAGGCACCTGAACAATTGTGCAATACTATTCTGTGGGAGTGGGATGAATTTCTCTGAGTCAATTCAGTGGGTGCAAGAGGAGTGATTTTTATCTTATTATTTTTACAGATTCTATTCTTACCATGTGTGTCAAATACTTTTCTAAATTTTAAACTATTTGCCTCAAAATCTTATCACAGTGAGTTCCAAAGGTAAATTTAAAAGTTGTTTACATAAGTATTTCGTTTAATCAGTTGCAAGTTTTTAAATGGATCGAGTGTCCTCTTGTCCTTGACTTCCAGGTAGGGGATTAGAGTGAAAGGGAGAGTCTGGTTGTCCTTCTCTATCCCGTTTATTATGGTGGCATCCCAGCTCATTAGGAAAAGGAGTCTCAGAAATGAGAGTTGCCTGGGTGATAGGGGAGCATTCACAGTAATTTGTACAATGCACAGGCTGCTGATCAGAGAATAGAAAAGACACATACACAATGAAGATGGATACGATGGATACTTTCCTAAGACAAAGTGAATAGTTACAGCTGGCTAACATTACCCAGCAGGAAAAATGTGTAGTCATTAGGGGCAATACATTAAGGCTGTGTCTACTTTGGCACCCTTTTCCGGAAAAGGGATGCTAATGAGACACTTTGGAATTGCAAATGCCGCGGGGGATTTAAACAAATGCCGCGGGGGATGAACATGGCTGCCACTTTTTTATGGCTCGGGGTTTTGCCGGAGAAAAGCGCCAGTCTAGACGGGATCTTGTGGAAAATAAGCCCCTTTCCGGAAGACACAGCCAATCAGTATTTGAGGGTGATCTGAGCTAGCACAAAAGTCATTTTGTGGCTCGAGCCCATTTCCAGTCTAAATTCAGTGTGAGGAACTGTTACTTCCCATCATATTACACCTCTAGCTTTAGATTCTTAAAGGACCTCTCTGTGCTGTGATACCTTCTGCTTTTGCTGAGTGCATACTGCATGCAACCGAAGGCAGAACTTCAAAGCCATTGAAACAGCTTAGACACTAAGCAGTTTCCCAATGACGGTGTATGGTGGTGCAGTAACTGAAAGTCAGCTTAGCTGGAGATACTGTAAAATGATAATATAAATGATGGCAAAGGTTAATCAACCCAAACCCTTTCCACATCCCAAAGCTACCTATAACTTCTGTAGGGCACCTACTGTTCTATTGTTATTTGGATTTGATGCACACCGAAAAGAGATCACAGACAGAAAAGAGGAGAATATTTCATCCATCTTGAGGGACTTTAGAAACTACATCATCTCCTCTCAGAATTGTGACTCATGGCTTTATCTACATGACAAAGAAAAGTTGGGAAAAGATACACAAATTGCGACCGGGGCCTGAAGCCCTTGTGGTTGATGTATTGGGTGGTTTGATGTGGTGCATGGATGGGAATATGGGTTCCGTTTAAGGCCCCTCTGCCATTGGGGAAGCCCAGGGCTGCAAATCTGGTCACAATGGGGTCCAGGTCTCTCAGGAGGATGACCCTGCACAGCAGATTGGAGTTTATGGCCCTCAGCACCTGCAGAAGGAGACAAAGAAACACAAAATAGAGAATGAGAGGGGGTGCCTCAGCCCTTGAGAGGTCTATGAGTCCCCCCCTTTTTTTCTCAAACAGCCCAGGAGTCACTGCCTATGAATACCTCCCCCCCGCAGGGCTGTGTGAGGGTGAGATGGCAGAATCCCCGGGGACAGGGCTTCCCTCCACCCCCAGGCCAATCCCTGACCCCTTTCCATAGGGTCTCCCTTTCCAGGACTCCCCACACTCCAGGGACTGCAGCTTGAGCGTGCCTTACCTCCATGAGGAGGGCCCCAAACGTGCACTTTCCCACACTGAATTGGTTGCCCACAGACTGGTAACTGTCTGGGGAAGTGAGCTTTCATACGGCGATGGTGACCACTTCTCCAGGGGAATGGCAGATCACATCTGGGTGTCCCATCAACGGAGGGCAGGGGCGAGCCAGGCACACAGCTCCATGAAGGTAGCCTTCCTCATACAGAAGTTATGGAGCCCCTGCTGGTCATCCCACCGCCATGACCAGCCGGTCCCACCAGTCGGAACTGGTGTCCAGCCTCTAAAAGCATCTTTCCACTGTGGGATGCGGTTGCAAGGGCCTTGTTTTTCACACAGGGAGAGGGACTCGCTGATGAGCTCAGTGTTGAGCTCCTGCAGTGCCATGAAGGCAGCCTGCACAAACTGCTTCAGAAACAGTGTGGACACTATCTTTCGAAAAAGCACATCGCTTTTTCATTGCGCTTTTTGCGTCTGGATGCTCTCTTTTGAAATAAACTTTTCTGGAATATCTGTGCCACATTAATTCACATACTCCTTTGTATGTGTATATGTAGCATGATATAGTCTTTAATTACATGATCAGATATTATTCTTTCCAAAGGATCCCCTGATTCGTTCAGTATGCAGGATTAATAGTGCTCACGTAAGGAGCAGCTAGTCAATATTTTGTTTTATCTTCATTGCTCACTGTTTGGCCCAGAAACAGGACTATGTAGCACTTTAAAGACTAACATGAGTCAAAAAAAAAAAAAAAAAAAAGATCCCAGAAGGTGATGTATGTAGTTCTGTTGCACATTGTTCCCAGCTTCTGCTAGCCAACACTGATCTGATGCTTTTGATACCTTTGATATCCATAATTATGATTTGGAGTCCCTTTAGTTGTTACCAATGCGCATTCAGTCTGTATCATGAGAACAGTTAAATCCCAATCCAATCCTACTGGTCCCAGCAAAATATGAAATCTAGAGAACATATTTGATAAAAGAAACAGTCACATTTTACTTACTCACTGACTTTACAATTATCACATCAGTCTCCAGTCAGGAGTCAAGATCCCATTTGGGTGAATCTGGAAGGGGGAGACTTGTTCACCTGAGATCTTGTACAATGATGGAGTCTCTCCTGCAAGCACTGGTGTCATATTTTACAGTTCCTACATTTAGGGGTGTGACGTAGTGGGGGGTACCTGGCTGGCTTCTATGCTGCTGGCTCTGGGGTACCCCCCAGTGGCTGCCGTGGGTACCACGACCCAGCAAAACAGGATGAGTCACTCACTATGCAAAGGGATCTCTCAACCAGTATGGCCAGACACCCCCCATGGAGAGGAACAAAGGAAGGTGGAATGCTGCCCTGGCTGGGGGGCAGGGCTGGAAGAGTGTTGGTGAGTTGCTGGCTGGGAGCATGGAGGAGACAGCCTAGGGAAAGGGGCTGGAGTTTAGGGGCCCAGTCTCCCCCATCTCAAGGGGGCCTGAGGCATCCTAGCCCAGCTCTGTGACCAGATTCCATCTGTGCTGTGCTGTATCCTGGAGAGGCAATAAACTTCCTCTATTCCACCGGCTAGTGCAGTCTGTTTGTGCCATTTCGGGGTGCAGGAGACGGGGGACCCCCAACACGCTGTCACAAGGGGTAGCACTGTTTGTTACCTCACAACAGCCAAATTAGCTACAATACACCACATTCCATTCCAACAATTGACCATCCATCAGTCCAGGCTGAATTGGCTTTATATAACCACACCCCGGATTCCTTTCCCATTCCAGCATGAGCTGTATTTATATATCAACAGTTAATTATCTTGCAGGGCTAAACAATTTGAGTGAGCATAATCAAACCCAGGACTGCTCTCCCCTTTCAGCTGGCTGCATTGGAAACAGTGGTTTAGACCCTGCTTATACCCATATTTATGTTCCATAAGGCCAACCCAGATCCTGTAATACTTCAGCTGGAGGAGACTCATAACAGAGATTAACACTTTGGCTACCTTAAAACAAGACTAGATAAGTTTCTCAACATTTGTAATGGATGAAGTCATCAAGTCACATGTTCCACCGGAGGGTGGAATCGAGTCAAGGAGACAATCCCCAAGGGGGCCACAGGACTGAGGCGCCTCCCGAATGGGGACTGGGGGAACGGAGGCAGGGGAAGAAGCCGTGGCTGGACAGAGTATGTCTGCAGCCACGGTGTCAGGTGGAGGGATATTATCTGTTGGGCCCCCAACAGGGAGGGAAGATGACCACCCTGCCTCAGGTGTAGAGGAGGGGGCACACACAAGCCCAAGATCTGGCTACTTGGCACCAGCCATCTCCCCTGAGAGCTCGGCAGCCTCAGACGCGGCACCTGAGATGGCCGAGCCGATGGGTGACACTAGGGGTACCCCGAGGGTGAGGATGGAGACGGTTGCCTGGGGCATGGGTGAGGGTGAAGGAGGCGGCGGTGCAACAGAGTCACCGCCCAGACTGAGGCCCATTGGCAGAGGGTCGTCCTCCCCCTGAGCAAGTGAGGTCAGACTCAGGGCCTCAGTCTCCTCAAAGATGGAACCAAAGTCCATCCCACGGTCCCAGAGTTCTCCCCATTGGCCGCCAAGGCAACAATTACCTCAGCAGTGATGACAAGGGGCATGGATGGTACCAGGACCGGGGGAACTCCACCTGAGGCCTCCTTGGGGGTGGGCTCTGCAGGGGGGGACAATGCTGTCCTCCCTCGTTGCCATGGCTTCATCAGCCTGCGCCTCCCACTGGCTCTTGTCAGGGGTGTTCTCAGCAGCAACGGCCCCCCTCGGTATTTTGCAGAGGGGGGCCTTCCCACCCTCCTCGTCAGAATGGGGATATTGAGCCCACAGGCTTTGTGCTTCCCCCAAATGAGCGTCCAGACCTCAGAGGTCAGCAAGGGCTGGGCTGGGGAGCGCAGATGGTTTCCTGTGGGGTCTTGGAGGCAAGGGAGGAAGAGACAGGGGTAGGGAAACTTCCCCCTGGGGGAGCCCTCTCCTTCACCCAGCAGTGACCGCGCCACCCTCTCCTCCTTGGGCCCCGCCAAGCTGGGTTGTACAGCGGCAGGGCTCACCTGCTTCCTCAGGCATACCAGGGGAGCACCTCTGGCATCTGACCAGAGCCATCGGTTGGAGGAGGTGTAGCTGTGGAGGCCAGACTACTGGGGAGCCAGCGGTGTTGGGGCTGGTGCCCTTCCGGGCCCCAAGGGGTCCAAATGCCTCCTCCAACTGGGCCAGAGGGCAGTCCCTCTGGACGTGCCCCGTCACCCAGCAGAGGAAGCACCGGGTCTCCCCCATTGAATAATGGATCCAGTAGATGGCCCTCTGGTAGGGTACCAGGAAGGACTCCTCCAGTGCCTCCCTGCCATGCACCGCCAGCGGCATTTGTAGTTGTACCTGCCAGTGGAAGGATAGTACGTGACAGAGGATGGGGTCCTTACAGCCCAGCGGGAGAGGGCTTATGGTGGAAATTGGCCTCCCCAGGGTGGAGAGGGTGCAAAAACTACCCAGACTGCACCTGAGGACTGGTTGGGACTGCTGGACCTGCAAGTGGCCGAGGACTGGCCTGGACCACCTGGACCCCAGCTGGACCTGACAGCACCTGAACCCCCAAGGGACCAGCCTGATGCTCAGGTATGCACTGAGCGGGAGAAGGGAAGTGGTCCAGGGAACATTGATGACAGTTAAATGTCTGGAGTCAGAGTGTTTCGGGCTTGAGCCCCGCTGACCCAGCAGCAGACCATGCTGCTGCTATTAGGGCCTTGGGCTGGGACACAATGGAATGGATGGGCCTGCGTCCCCCCTGCCACCCACCTACCAGGTGGCAGTCTCCCCCTCTCTGCCACCACAGATGAACTGCCTGAGCAAGGAGAAAAACTATTGGCTACTGATTATTTGGGTTTGTTTGCTGCCCCACCTGGAACCAGGCTTGAGCCACTGAAGTAACTGTGTTTATTTGCAGCCCTGCCCTGAACCAAGGCCAGGGAGCCTGAACTGACTTTGTTTGTTTGCTGCCCCACCTGAACCAAGGCCTGGGCTCCTAGATTGCTAAACTGAATGTTTGTCTATTGCCCCGCCCTGACCTAGTGCCAGGGATCCTCTCTGTGTTTGTTGCTGCCCCTCCTGAAACAAGGCCTGGGCTATCGAACTCTTTGAACTGTTTGTTTGCTGCCCCATCCTGACCTAGGGACAGGGCCCTTTACTGTATTTGTTTACTGCCCCGCACTGACTAGGACCTGGGCTCCCTGAACTGACTGTTCTTCTCAGTAGGACAACTTGTCTCTCTTAGGGGTAAGCAACTGTCCAGGGCCACTACTACCAGCGGCAGAACTGGCCAGGCCTGACTACTATGCTGTCATGCTCATGTCACGGTTCTTGCCATACACTGTTCTATACAAGAAACTCAAAATTTTGTCTTGCAGGCTCAGTTCCATGAGTAGTTCTCACATGATAGAACTCATTGACTTTGATAGGGGCTATTCTTGTAACTAAGTGCTACCCCTGCAAGAGAGAAGTTTGTAGGGCTAGAGCCAATGGGTGGGAGAGGTTGAAGATTTTTTTTCACATTGACTCCTCCCTCCCATTGCTATGTCAGAATACAAAATATCTATTGAAATGTATCTTCTCAGGTCCAGTATTGTATTGCTGGTCAAGGACACCCTGACCTCTGGACTATACCATCTCCCACATTTCAGAAGACATCAATATGTCTAATTTTTGTTCCAGAGCAGAACAAATAATT